CACTCCCAGAACTCTCAGGTCCTCTACTCCCAAGGGACTAGCACACACCAGCGTACAAGATTCAACGCCGGATCATCAGTCTGCTGAAAACGCAGCACTTAGATACATTTATAGTGAAAACAAGGATAAGTTTATCATCAAAGAGCAGATAGTAAGTAAGAATATTGGAAACAAATGGTTACATATAAAACAAAATTATAACATGCTTTCTAGAGCTTAAACTTAACTCACAAGACTTTTTCTGTCTCAACAGGATAGCTTACTCTAAGTCCTTTTCCCACTGTTTTCAGCCAGGATGGCTGAGATCCTGTTTCAAAAGATCAAGCCTGTTGGCAACGTGCCTTCACAGGTTGAAGGCTGCCAGAGCATCTTTCTGCACCTTCCCCCCACAAATATACCAGAACAGATCTTTGAGATTCATCTGAAAACTGGGGTCCCTCCTCAATTTGCCTCTTCCTGTTAATTTCCTTCTGAAGTCTCCACAAGCTCTTCATTAGCATTTGACTCAGTGTGTTAATAGACTTCTACTGTAAGACACACAATGGTCCAGCAGGGAGATAAACATCTCCTCTTCTTGTCTGGAGAAGTTTGCCTCAAGGGACGCTACCTTTGAGTGCTCTGCCTTTAACTACAAGGCCTAGAGAACATAATTTGCTGCATATATGTGTAACTCTTCACATTTTCCATACATACATCCCATGATGATGATGATGACCAGTGTGCCACAGGTTTTTCATTAGAGACCTTACATGACATTATTTTGGTGAACCCAGGGGATCCCCGTGCCCTCTGCCAGTTGGCATCCAGAGTCTTTGGGTCATATAGAGAAACTCCAGAGTAGCCTGTACTCCAAGCCAATGTCCCCTTCTTTCTAACCTCCCTAGGGCTCTCTCTCCAATCCCACTCCATGCCACTCTGGATCTCAAGGCTCTGTCCAGTGACAGGCCAGATCCTGTAGTTCGTGAACCCATTCCAAACCCCCTCTCCTGGTCAAGAAGTAGAATGATAATGACCCTGCTGTTCGATGTTCTGGTCTCTGCCTGTCCTTTCTCCCCATAAAGCACCAAGAGACACAAGCATGTAAGGAATCAAAACAGAC